AAAGTGCTGGGATTACAGGCTTGAGCCACCGCGCCCGGCCTCTAAATTAATCTTGTTTACCTTTGCCAAATCAATAGCATATTGTAATTGGCTGAATAAAACAGTGTTGTTAGTTTTAAAGAATTGGGATTTTTAATTGTTTTTCAAGCTGATTCATTTTGAAATACTTATAACTTTTCCTGGAATATTAGAAACAGGGCCAAGCATGGTGATTCATGCCTGTAATCCCAACACTTTGGGAGGCCAAGGCGGGTGGATCACTTGAGGTCAAGAGTTCAAAGACCAGCCTGGCCAACATGGTAAAATCCCGTCTCTATTCAAAATACAAAAATTAGCCAGGTGTGGTGGTGGGCGCCTGTAATCCCAGCTACTCAGGAGGCTGAGGCAGAATTGCTTGAACCTGGAAGGCAGGAGTTGCAGTGAGTCAAGATAACACCACTGACTCTGTCTCAAAAATAAATAAATAAATATTTTAAAAGAACTAAATTAAATGCTTTCAAAAGTCAAAATGATACAAAAAAAAGTATATGCAAAAAGTGTCACATCCCCCTATATTCCCTCTACCCCATTCATCTCCACCCCCAACAATCCCTTGTACATAACCAAGTTTATTGTTTTCTGATTTATACGTTTTGTTTCTTCTTGTAAATATAGGCAAATATATATATATATATATATATATATATTTCATTTTCTCTTCTGCCTTACATGGAAAGTAGCATATTCTAAATGCAGCTTTTAGAAAATTCCTAATAAGCATATTCCCATACATTTTATCTTTTAGAAAAACAACGCTTTACATAATGAGATTTGATCCTTATAAGAATTATTGTGTTTCCTTTCTTCTTGATCTTCACACTCCTTTTTTTCTGAATCCTTCTTTTCTACCTTTAAGTACATTCAGATCTCCTTCATCAGGAAAACGTAAAACTCAAGTAAGAGCAAAACCTTTAGTGGAATAAATTTTCAAAATTCCATTTTATAAAACACTGGTCCCTTAAAACATCAACTGCTGTTCAAAAATTCACAGTGCAATGCACATCTGCAAACTAAAAGTCCAGAGAAGTAAAATAATAAACTAAGTTAATTTAATTAAATATTTTTCCCAGCATATTTAACCACGTAATCATTTTTCTGCCAAATACCTGTTAACATCCCATGGAATGAGGAAGTACTCCTGGGAACATTACTCGTCACTCATTTGAATCAGGGCTTTTTGGGCTACCAGTCATTCCGTACTGCTAAATGGAGAAGACTTTCTAGAGGTCTTATTCTCTTTGCCTTGTTCCCAGTATTACAATATGTGGCCAAAATGGATTATTCTGTTTCCCCAATTGCTCTCACACTTTTTTTCATGCAGTTTATCCTTCCTGGGTGCTTTTTATTGTAAGATCACTCACTTTTTGAAATCCTAATAGTCCTTCAATGTCTGTCAATGCTACTTCTTCCACGATTGCTTTTAATGTTTTAATTTTTATTTTTTAGATGAAGTCTTGCTCTGTCAGCCAGGCTGGAGTGCAGTGGTGCAATCTCAGCTCACTGCAACCTCTGCCTCCCAGGTTCAAGTGATTCTCCTGTCTCAGCCTCCCTAGTAGCTGGGATTACAGGCACCTGCCACCATGCCTGGCTAATTTTTGTATTTTAGTAGAGACGGGGTTTCACCATGTTGGCCAGGCTGGTCTTGAACTCCTGATCTCAGGTGATCTGCCTGCCTCAGCCTCCCAAAGTGCTGGGATTACAGGCATGAGCCACCGAGCATGGCCTTAATTTTTTAACTTAAGCTGATTTTAGCTATGGTCAAAATGATCTTGTTTCTCCTGTGTATTTATCAAAAAACACGTATTGTCTATCTAGTTTGGAAGACCCTTTGACAGGGACTAAAATAGTTTATATCCACCAGTATATTCTGAGGACTTGATACTTCGGCTTCAGGGAACCCTACTTATTGTTGGTGGATTCCAACGTCATTACCAAAGAGGTGTGCAACTTGGAAAAAGTAATCTAAAATAGTCATAAGAAAGCATCTTCACTGGAGAATCTCTGTGAGAAATAGAAATAACTTGGTGCATGATAGCTTATTTGTGATTGTTCCTTAATTTCTTTTTTTTAATGGAGTCTTGATCTGTCACTCAGGCTGGAGTACAGGGGCGCAATCTCAGCTCACTGCAACCTCCACCTCCCAGATTCAAGTGATTCTCCTGCCTCGGCCTCCCAAGTAGTTGGGATTACAGGCACCCACCACCACACCCAGCTAATTTTCGTATTTTTAGTAGAGAGGGAGTTTTACCCTGTTGGCCAGGCTGGTCTTGAACTCCTGACCTCAGGTGATCTGATGCTTCAGCCTCCCAAAGTGCTGGGATTACAGGCGTGAGCCACTGCACCTGGCCTCCTTAACATTCTTAATAAATGACTAAAAAGAGTTGGGATGTTAAGAGACCAGATTCTAATTCTTGACTAAAAAGAGTTGGGATGTTAAGAGACCAGATTCTAATTCTGACTTTGAAAATACCTAGAACACATCATTTCATCTCTTCAGGTCTCCCTGAGCCTCTCCCCTAGGTGACCAGAGGGACCTAGAGCAAGGTGAGGAAGCCCGTGCCCTCCGACTCCAAGTCAACCTGAGTATTTTTGTCCCCAGCCTGCAGCATCCTGGGCAGGTTTAGGCCCATTCCTTATGCGGCCACTAGCTGGCAGGATTGCCACATGTTGTGGCCACTCCCCATCTACACCTTCATCTTCTCCAGGAAGAATTCGCCCTCAGGCTGATTCTGGACCAAAACAAACAGAACATTCCTCCTGGCAGCAGCCAGGTCCCCAGCACTATTGTGCCAAGGAGACTCTGATTTGCCTCAAGCCCAAAGAATAAACTAGGAGTCCAAGGGACAGCTGACTCCACCCCACGTACGACGCTCCATTGGAGACCTTCAGGTGACCCAGGTCAACAGCAAGCCACCCTCTGGAGGATCCAACGCTGCCTAAGAAATCACACCTAACACCTCATCAGATACTGATGGAAATGTGCGATACAAAGCTTGTAATATGTGGCAAGTCACATGAATTTCTCTGATCCTCAATTTATTGCTTTGTAAAATGAGTGTAAACTAGGTTTCTGAACTCTGCCTTCCAATGCTATAGGCAGTGTCAGATCCTGGGGAGAATATGGTGTTTTTGAACACACAGATGTGCTTTAAATCCTTTCTTTGCCATTTATATGACCTTGATGGGTTCAGGACACAGTACCCCAAACGAAGTATGGCAGCTTGGTATTTGAGAAAACAGCAGAAGAGGAAAGTCTCTCATTTTCCCCTCACCTTTCTTCAAAGCAGGTGATAAGACCCTCATTCCATAGGTATCCTCCTAATGCCCAGAAAAAAGGAGCAACCCTGTCTCTGAAGACATAGAGAGTAGTCATAGAAAACAGACCTCGTTGCGTTCCCCCAGTTTGTTACCATCACATCGTACCCCTTTGTCCAATACTTCACAACTGTCTGTTTCTTCATCAAACTTAGCATAAAAATCTGTTTCCTTGTGTCTTTGGGTTTTCATTTCTGAAAGTTCCTGTGTCACATAAAACTTGCATTAAATAAATTTGTATGCTTTTCACTGATTAACCTTTTATTATAGATACCTCAGCTATAAACTCTGGGTGTGTGAGAAAATATTTCTTCTCCCCTACAAACGTGATCATGTTTTCTAAGATTTTCTTCAGGAGAATGAAGCTACAAAATTTATTTCACAATGTTTTTCTCAGGATGAAAAAAACTGAGTTAGTGAAAGAGACACATAGAGTGCTCAGTAATGGTGTTCATTCCTATCCTTGACTACAAAAATACCAAACAACATATTCCACAGTCATTAGAAACTTGTACACATGCATAAAAAGGACAAGATAAATATATATATTAAACTCTTAAAGTTTTTATTTCTAGAGATTAACATTTAAGTGTTGAATATTTTCTTCACTATGCCCCCTGCCCCCGTAGTTTCCAAATTTCCTAAAATAAACCTTTATGACTGTTATTACTTTTTCCTGTGGTAAATTATACACAACATAAAGCCAACCATTTAAAACATTTTTAAGTGTACATTTCCGTGACATTAAGCATGTTCATCCCCTTGTGCAACCATCATCACCATTCATCTCTAGAACCTTCTTATCACAAACAGGTACTCTATACCCATTGAATCATAAATCCCTACTCTCCCCTCCCTTCTGCCCCTAGAAACTACCATTCTCCTTTCTGTCTCTATGAATTTGACTATTCTGGGTACTTCATATACATAGAATCATAAAACACTGGGCCTTTTCTGTCTGGATTACTTCTCATTTCACTTAGCATAATTCCTTAAATGTTCATCCATGTCATGGCATACATCAGAAGTTCATTCCTTTCCAAGGCTGAATAATAGTCCATGTGTATATACCACATTCTGTTTATCCATTCATCTATCTATGAATATTTTGGTTGTTTCCATTTTTTATCTATTGTGACGTAGGAATGCAAACACCTATTTGAATCTCTGCTTTCAATTCTTTTGGTTCTATACCCAGAGTGGAATTGCTTGATCATATTATAATTCTATGTTTAATTTTTTGAGGAACTGTACTGTTTTCCACAGTGGCTCTGCCATTTTACATTCCTACCAGCAATGCTCACAGAGCTTCTGATTTCCTCATTTCCTGATCAATACTTGTTATTTTCTGCTGTTTTGTTTCTAATAGTCATCCTAATGGAGTGACGTATAACTGATCATTGCAGGTGTTGCATTTTCCTAATGTGTTGACTTGCATTTCCCTAATGATCAGTGATGTTGAGCATCCTGTCATATTGCTGTTATTTTTTTAAAAGCTTCTATTTTGTAAACATCTATTTCTCTGGGACAGTGCTTCTCTAACTTTACTGTGCTTCTTAATATCCTATAGATCTTATTAAAATGCAGATTCTGATTCAGCAGGTTGGTATGGGCATTAGATTCTGCTTACCTAACAGTCTTCCAAGTGATCTTCAGGTTACGCTTTGATTAGCAAGCATCTAGGTGATGAGAGGGACCCAACCAGGCTTGAATATTATACTTATTTGCACCTGGCCACCCATCTTTATCTTTGCAACAAAACTTTCCAGCCCTATTTATCTTCTCTCTCAAGGGTGATAAGACCAAATGAGCAGAACATAGACTTGAAACTCTACTCTTGTGGCATAGAGCACTGGTGTCAAGGAAAATTAGACATCAACACGTGCAAGCAGGACATTTAGACCCTTCATTTTACTCTATGGTGAGTAACTAAAAAAGAGGTTTTCTAAGTGAATAATTAGAGTAGAATAAAACAATCATACCAGTTTTCAGCTAAATCATGAGACTTCAAATAAATTTCCTGTATTTGTGGGCAGCATAGATCTATATTCCTGGACCTCCAGAAGTCCTCTGTCATTTTCCTTTGCCATGGGGATGCACCAGGAAGCAATTTGAGAAGCCTCTGGTCCCTGCATTCAGAGGAGGGAGAAATGATGTAATAGGCTAAGAAGGCCACAGTCACCTGACCCAGCTAGCATTTAATAAGAGAACACTTCCAAAGGAAAGTCAACCCAGAATTCAAATGAAAGCGATTTGATAAATACTTAAAGGTAGCTGGAAGCTACTCTGCATGTGACAGTGATCGAGTTAACTCCTCACGCAGTAGTGAGTAAAACAGGCATTGAGTAATTGTTACTGTTCCAGTGAGTATTTCCAGCATAGCAGCAGAGGCCCCGGGAAGGTACAACAGGAGGATTCAAACTAAGGAGTACGGCAAGCCCTGAGCCAGACACTGGAGTGGCGGGAACTCCAGGGGCAGATGGACCAGCAGCTAAGAGAAGCACATGGAGTGGTGATTCCTGAACATGAGTCTGTGTGCAACGTGGTAACTAGTCGGCAGAGAAAAGGTGAAAATAAGGACAGTCTTGTGAGTTTTTCATGAGGTTAAATTTACTCCATGTGGGAGCTTTCACTGGGAATTGAAATCTCCTTTCATAAAATGCAAAATATTTCTTTCTGCTGAACGTATGATGGACTATATTGTTTGCTCAGAACAGGGGCAAGAAAAACCTGGCCAGCGCCGCCAAGTGGAAAACGTCTTGGGACATCCTAAGTTGTATAACAATGTATGTATATCATACACCAGTTAAAACAACTCTTGAAGCACGGGATATGTGACCCTGCCCCCGTGGCTCGCTCGTGGAGAATACTTTCTATTTTGTCCTTGATCACTGGTAAGCAGGCACTAGCTGCCTACCTAGTTTATCTTGGTTCTATGAGAAAACACAGAGCACCTGTTTGTTAATAATAATCACCTGTTCAGAGAGAATAAATACGTGGGTCAGAGTCTGTTCAAGGCCCTCAGCCCAGAATGCTGTCAGCATCCTGAGGCTCTCAGCTCCAAAGGCTGCTGGCCCCGCAATAGTCCCACTTTGCTGTTCTACCTGGGTGTCTGCTTCTTAATTTCTTCAGCGCCACCTGGGTGAGGGTCTCTATGACTGAGCTGGTCTCAGTATCTTTCTCTTTTTTTTTTGAGATAGGGTCTCACTCTGTCACCCAGCCTGCAGTAAGTGGTGTGATCATGGCTCACTGTAGCCTCAACCTCCTGGCCTCAAGTAATCCTCCTGCCTCAGCCTCCCAAAGCACTAGGAGAACAGGCGCACAGCTCCACACCCAGTTCTGGACACTTTATAGAGATAAAACTTATGGCATTGTGGCTTTGAGTTCAGTATGAACAGATGTTTTCTCAGCACCAATATCAGCATCATTGCTAGAATTTTATAACTACTTGCTGTATGCCAAGCAACAGACTAAGTACATCACATGGATTATTTTACTCAATTCTCACAACCCTACTATAAATAGGTATTACTGTAATTTTACACTTTACCACTGAAGGAACTGAGGGTTGGGAGGTTATGTAACTTGCCTAGGCCACACAGCTGGTGAAAAGTGGGGCTGTGGTTCTTAAAGCCAGATGTGAACTTCTGCTTCTTGCCATGATAGACTAACAGGGACTAGATTTACACTTCCACCTTTAAATCTAAAACTCTAAATAAAAACATATGAAACATTGATTGTCAGGCATTGAGAAATAGACAAAGCAGGACAGTGATTCTTAAGAGAAGGGAAACAGGCCAAGCATCGTGGCTCATGCCTGTAATCCCAGCACTTCCAGAGGCTGAGGCAGGTGGATCACAAGGTCAAGAGATTGAGACCATCCTGACCAACATAGTGAAACCCTGTTTGAGACCAGCCTGGCCAATATGATGAAACCCCATCTCTACTGAAAATACAAAAATTAGCTGGGCATGGTGGTGTGTGTCTGTAGTCCCAGCTACTCTGGAGGCTAAGACAGGAGAATCACTTGAACCTGGGAGGTGGAGGTTGCAGTGAGCCGAGATTGCACCACTGCACTCCAGCCTGGCAACAGAGCAAGATTCCATCTCAAAAAAAAAAAAAAAAAAAGGGGGGGGAAGGGAAACAAAAAGATGAGTCCTATGATGCCCTAGCTCACTGTCTGAGGTGTTTCCAGGTTACATTAAAGGAGGGAGGAACCAAACAGAGCCTAGCAATTAAAGGACACAATGTTTGGAGCTCCAGGAGGCCAAGCAGCTAAATTTCTGGGCAGGATACTTTAAAGGAGACAGCCACACAGAAGGAAAGCTACAAAGAGATGCAGAGGGACCGCTTGCATCTGTAGTCTACACTAATCGGCACACATGTTAGTTCGGAAACCACCGAACAGGGAGAGAACCATCAGAAAAGAGCAATCTCCAGAACTCACTCAGGGTCAGGGAATATTCTGCTTCTACTAGCAAGAGTAAAATACCTCATAATACATGGGATACAAAATAGAGTATTCAGAAGTTACCACCTTAGCAATGAGGCTAAATTAATCCTATACTAAAAACTGATCTGGGCTTCCCTAACAAAGATTAAAAGCAAGTCAAAAGGATCAATTTGTTTCCAAGTAACTTAGTTACATCCCAGAATAAAGCCTAATAAATATTTGAAGGATTGGAAAAAAATCTACACCTCAAAACATAACATTAACAATGTCTGCTCTTCAATCAAAAATTTGTAGGCATGAAAAGAAGCAGGAAAAAGACCCATATCAAATTTATGGTGATGGAAAACAAGCAACAGTATAATGTCTGAGCTGAAAGGTTACACGACTAGCAAGTGGCAGAACTTGAAGTTTCAACTCTGGACGGACTCCAGGTTTGGTGCTCACTGCACTACTAAACTAGTTTTGTGGCAGAAAAGACTGAGAGAAAGGCAAATTAGGCATCATTTTCTTTCTTTCCTTCTTTCTTTGTTTCTTTGTTTCTTTCTTTCTTTCTCTTTCTTTCTTTCTTTTCTTTCTTTCCTTCCTTCTTTCTTTCCTTCCTTCCTTCTTCCTTCCTTCCTTCCTTCCTTTCTTTCTTTCTTTCTTTCTTTCTTTCTTTCCTTCCTTCCTTCCTTCCTTCTTTCTTTCTTTCTTTCTTTCTTTCTCTTAGCCTTGATTTGCAACTCATATTTTCTTAATTAAGCCAATTGGCCCAAACACGTAAGTAGCCTTTTTTAAATTTCCTTGATAAGCAAAAGCTGGAAGCATTCCCCATAAGAACAGGAAAAAGACAAGGATGTCCACTTTCACCACTCCTATTCAACATAGTACTGGAAGTCTGAGCAAGAGCAGTCAGGCAAGACAAAAAAAAATAAAAGTCATCCAAATAAAAAAATGAAGTCAAATTATCTCTCTTTGCTGTTGATATGATTCTATACCTACAACACCCAAGAAACTCTGTCAAAAGGCTCCTAGAACTGATAAATAACTTCAGTAAAGTTTCAGGATACAATCAATGAAGACAAACCAGTAACAATTTTATATGCCAATGGTATTCAAGTTGAGAGCCAAA